CCAAAAAAAAAAAAGGAAAAAAAAAAAAAAGGCTGAGTCGCCTCCTCTCCCGATCCATTTTTCTCCCTTGGGATTTGTGATTCATGAACTCCCTGACGTTCCGAGAATATCGGCGGTTCGGCTAACCAAGGCACACGTTATACCGTTCCTTCATTTTGATCTATCTGCAGCGAAATAAAGCAACAGTGGTGAAACAACGTGACTATCGATCTTTAAAAGGATGTTGACTAATTTTGTTCCATCTGGAGAAGTTAAAACGTTATAGATTATCGAAACCCCTCCCGGACTTTATAATCAACTTTATAACAATGACGCCTGGATGAAGGACTGGGTCATTTCTGATGGCGTGGACGTGGAAAAAGGGCGTTCATGCCTGCAGTCTAGCAACTTGAAATAAATAAATAAGTTTAAGTCCAAAGGTTAAATAAGGACCAGCCGAAGACGCCACATCGCTGAAAACTGGACGAAAGCTGAATTCGGGTTAGTAAAATTTCTTTTCCTCGAATTGTGCGCCTTGAACACGCGAGCCCATTTTCCCAGAGAACTCCTCAACTAAGGCTTTGATATCTGCTCCGGTCGCTGCACGTAAGGCACGCACGGTACAGTGGACCGTATTTTAGAACGAAAGCATGAAGAGTTATTTGGTTTTTCGGGAAAGGGATGAGGGGGGCTGGGGGTTTTGCGGGGCGGGGAGGCATGCGACATCTCTCCTATCCCGTTGGTACTAATTCCTCCCGCCACTCGGGGATTTCCCGCGCGGTTCCGGTTCGGTCGCGGTCATTCCGGTTCGGCGGCTCTTCCGGTTTTGTGGAATTGCCTCCTGCTCCGCTTAAAGCCGGTTCGACACGGTTCAGAGTGTTTTTTCGAAGTCGTTCCGAGTCGGCATCATTCCAGTCGGCGTCGTTCCGGCATTGCAGGCGGGCCGGCACCGCCCCCGATTCGACTTCGTTCCTTCTCGATTCCGCGTTCCCGGTGGATTCCCCCTTCGCAACTGGAATGCGGTGAGTCCAGTCCGCTTTAGACTAAGACGCCGAGAAGGCTCCGACCAGAACTGCTGCCCACGCTTTCAAACATCGGCTCCGAGACATTTCCGACTCTCGCTTACACCGTAGCCGTGGATCCCGAAGAATCACGAACCCTCTCGCCTCGCAAACGGCCGAGTCCCCCAAGCCTCTCCCCTCGTCACCAAAACGACCCAGGAGGCGCCTCGACCCACCTCGCTCAGTTTGCATAGCCAGAACCGGGACGGCATAGAGTGGAGCGAGCGACGACTCGGAGGCACCACGACAAACGGAGGAAAGCCAGAGGGGGAACATACAGCCACAGAGGATTCGATCAGGGACTTTCCTGACTTTTGGGGGGGGGGGGGGGGGGGGGGGGGGGGAAAAGCTGGAGATGGGGTTATTGAAATAGACTCACTTCGTTACTCGACTGACCTTGACCGCAGAGAACATCGTTTCCACTGGAAGGAACAATGCTCGGGAAAGCAAGAGTTTTTCAGAACGCGGGTGGGGCCAGGGTCATATCACGATCCGTTCGAGTGTCTGGAAACTATGTCAACATATCGCTAAGCTACAGACAAATTTTATCAGGAGAGCGCTCCACACGCCACTCGACCGCACGAAAAACTCGCGGTAGCGCGTGTAGAAGACAGGAGACGCAAGACGGCCGATCTCGCCTCGCGGGGGTTTGCGTCAGGTGTGCCTCCCACGAAGACACGCAAAAGCGTGGCCCTCTCGGCCTCGCCGTCCGATGGATTTTCTGTCGATGAGTCAAGGACGCAGAGGATCACGGCGCAGGCTGACACTTCCGATACCCGAGCCCGATCTCATCGTCCCCCCAGGTAGCGCTTCCAGGTTGAGCAACAATGTCTGCCCCCGTTTCCTCGTGCTTCGTCGAATTCCCCACCTGGTGCCTACCAGCATAGCCCAGGCTTCGTTTCGAACTCCAAAGTCGTGCTCAGTGGCTTTCATCGTTCCATGGGCTCTTAGGCCTCGCTCGACAAGGCCTACGTTGCGAGGATATTAGACCAAAAATGGAATTCCAATTCAGCGTTGGTCCGTTGTTCAAGCACTCCCTCTGCAAGTTGAATAATTACCTGGATATCGAAAGTGTGACATCTGATGGCGGGGAGAGGGAAGTCACGAGGACAGACAGGTTAGAAGAAGCCTAGATCCTAAATTTAGCCTAAGTTAGTTCGATCTAAAAAGTGTTTTTTAATTGGAAGGCAGAAACAGACCTTGGCCTAGCATAATTAAGCCTAGCTAAGAGAGAGAGACTATTGACTGTGTAGATGATGGGGATTTTTCAGTTGAGCAGTGCTTCCCCTTCTGCTGGGTGCAATCCCCAGAAAGGGTGGAGGGAGTGGGAAAGTTAAGAAATATCTAACGTTAAGGAATGTGCTTGCAAAAAGGTTAGGAACACTGTATTGGTCAGCACATTAATTTTTCTCCTTAGATGTGGTCACTGATGCTAAAATATAACCCACAGATTTCAATTGTGCCTAAGCTGTTCCACTTTAATCACATCTTCTGTTTAGTTCATATCCAGTTTACTGAAACAAACCCAGCATCAATTTTGTTTCTACTGATGTGGACACTACATTTGAATTGGAGTTTAACAGTGATCTCCAGATTTCTATTAGCAAACAATGAGATAAGCATAAATGACTAGAGTGGTAACTAGGTACTGATTCCATTGCACCAATTTCGGTTCATGTAGACGTGTTGCTTCTGTTGCATGGCTAGCTGCTGCTGGTCAAGTAGGTCTTTGGGACAACATACTTTATGTATTTTGGCCTTTTACAATTGAAGGCTACAGAAATACAAAAACAAACATTACAGTGAATAGACCAGACACCAGCACAAATTTCAGTTCCACTGAAGAAAGTGGGATCCCTTATTCTCACTCATGTCCCATGTTTATTTTCTCCTCCTATTCCTTGGTCATCTAATTTTATTCTGATAGTCCTACCCTTCATACTCTCTGATTGGTTGTACTTCAGATCAGAAAAGTTGTCAACCTGTATTGAAACCTAAATGGTAGACATGCAGATCCTAAACTCAACATGCTGTTATTTGATAATCATGAAGCCTATTTTCAAACTAGGAAAAGTATGAACAATTGGCAAGGCAGCTGAAAGAAAAATGTTTTAGCACAAAAAATAAGCAAGGCAAAATTATAGAGGGGTTATGGGACCCTGTACCTACCTGCATGCATCATCCATTGCTGGCACCAGGATTCCAAATAATGGTAGGCCTGCATGTAGGTGTAGTGAAGCACTTGACTTTGCATTTGAATTTCATTTTCAAAGATCTTTAAGATGATTGTAGCAGGCTATGTTGTCTGTAAACCTATCATAGTATCATTGGTTTTTGCTTCAAGGAAAAAGTGTTTTAAAATCATGCATGAATATTCTCATTCTCATATGGTTTCCTCAGGAGGATGGTGAACCCATTGAGCGAAGTCATCAATCGGATGGGTGAAGCTTCAGCAAAGGCACAACGGTTGAATGTGCCCATAACAACATTTGAGAAGCTGCAGAACTCTGACAATCATCATGTGTACCTTATTGTTGACAGAGATTTCAAAAAGTGAGTTCAAGACTACTTTGGACTGTTGATGAATAGATATGTTTGGCCCTAAGTCTACTGGATTGAAGATGCTAATTATGCAAAATGTAACATTTGCCTTTCTTATAGATGATTCTTGGTTAGGCATGTACCTTATGGACCAATGAAGGTGCATTTTCCCCATTTTTTATGGTGTCTTCTATTTACTTCACAGTGGGAAAGGTGCTGTGGTGGGGCTCCTTAAAGTGGGTCATAAAAACCTGTTCATCATCGATGAAGCAGGTGCTCAGAATGAAGTTTCCCCCTTGTGCATTTTGGACTTCTACGTCCATGAGTCCCGTCAGCGACTTGGCTTTGGCAAACACATCTTTGACTTCATGCTTCAGGAGGAAAAAGTGAAGCCTGCACATTTGGCAATTGACAAGCCTTCTGAAAAACTGCTTCATTTCCTTCGGAAGCATTATGGACTGGCCCATGTTATTCCACAAGCCAACAACTTTGTTGTTTTTCAAGGGTTCTTCACTAACAGACCAGGTGGGTCATGACATCAGAGAACCTCACACCTCTTAATTTCACTCAGCAGCAGTGTGGTTTACATTATGGGATGAAATTTTGGTTTTTATAATTTTTATACTCTTTGCCTTTTCTTTTAATATTTTCAATTTAGCCAAATAAAATGATGTAAGCAAAAATGCATTATAATCAGGCTACAAATTTAGCTTCAGTTAACATGTAGCATTCTTTACAAAAAACAAGAATTGACCATTGCTTCTTCATTGTCAGTCACATGAAGACTTTAACTTCAAGAAAACATACCCTTCTATAAAACCCTTATTTTGTCATAACTAGTCAGTGAAACTAGTGGCTCTAGTTGGAAAAACACTATCAGCCTCATACTTGCTTAGCTGCACGAGGACATCTTGAGCAACAAGCTCTTAAGGGATTCATGCAAGCTGCTTGCTAATCCAGTGCTGTATTGTGTAGCTGTCTTCATTCAGTATTACAGGGTTGATTATATCTTAGTTCGTGGAACACTTGACACTATTGAGAGATCATAAAATTGGAGGTGAATTCTTGTTAGTCCTGTATAATAGTGATTATTGATGCTAGGCTCATCATATACTAATCTCTTTTTTTCTGACTCTCATTATTGTCTTTGTTTTTATTTACAAATTAAAAAGCTTTTATTATAAACTTTGTATGTTTTTTCACCAATCAAAACCTTGCTGCTATTGGCAGTGTCACTTATTTCTCTTGTTGCTGTTACTCTTGGATTCTCATAGTCTGTCGAGTGCTCTAAGCTGTCCAGAATTTGATCAGTTGAGCAGGTTGTTAACTAGTTCATGGGATATGCATAAGTAATTTTTAATTATTGAAAACCTTTCCAGAAATTTTTGTTTCTGAAACTTGAAATTTTCAGAAAGCTACATGGAAGAAATGGACTGAATCTCACACTTGAGTGACATTCTAGTGTTAGAGTAGAGTGGACTATTTGAAGAATGACATTCATTACTAGGACCCCAAGCACGACCATTCCATCATTGTCTTCATGGGAAAGCAGGACAGATTCCTAAGTCTGATCCGTCTTATGAGGAATGAATTCAGGAGAGATGGTATTCAATTTGTATTGCATCAAAATAACTTCACCCTGATACTCAAACCTTTTCACCATCTCCAAAGGTGTATGTTTCAAAGGTCAAACTGACAAATCTGTAGGAAGGTGAGACTATGGAGCAGAAGGAGAAAAGGGTGGAGAGAGACAAGCAGATGGATGTAGGAAGTGGTGTTAAGACAGGTTTATGTATGGCAGTATACTAGCATGGAAGTTAAGCACATGAAATATCACTCCCTTAGCTTCTTTATTCCTTGGAAGTACGTAACAATGGCAATTAATGGGGACAATCTCACATGTGAGTGCATTTAAATATGTCAGCCTGCTCCTGGGAGAAAAAGGGGTAGGGGAGGGGACGGGGAAGCTGGGGGTGTAAGAGAAGCTCCATTGGGATTATTTTTGAGGTGCTCTTCAACAGGAGTCTTAAAGACTAAAGAAGATTTATAGGGATGGGGAGAATCAGAAGTCAAAGCAAGATCAAAAGGAGGAAGAGATGAAGAAGCAGAGATTTGCATAAGCCTCCACTGTCCTCATGTGCTGAGAGAATGACCCTCAATTTTCTCAGCTTATAAGCAGCACTTAAATTACTAGTGAGCAGCTTATGATAGAGATTGGACTGATAAGATTTATCTAAGTTGGCATTCTTGGCAAATCTCTCTTGCTTTTGACTCTTGCAAATCATGAGATCAAACAGACATTGACAGCAAGGCCATGTATTGACAATAGCTCCTTGCATGCATTCTGTGCATGGCTGTATTGGTGCTGAAATCTCTTTCTGGTGCAGTCCAGCAATACTGGTGTCATTTGTGATGGAATATAATGGACATATTAACAAGTTGTTTCATCCATAGATCAGTTTCCCTGGTGTCTGTTTGCATGAAGACTTTCCAGAATAGTTACTCATTTCTTGAAATTCCTGGGAAGTATTGGGCAATTACAGTATATGCCTGAAGTCTCCAGGCATATAGTGACATAATGATTCCAATATGTGGTTAGTTATATGCCATAACTAGTAGAGGTACCCCACGTTGCATGGGTGAATATTGTATATGTCCCATATTTGAGGGTTTCATATTGTTTCAATGCCTCTTTGGCAAACCTGGCTAGGAATTATTTAAAATATTTAGCTTTTACTACACAACCGATTGCAAAATTCCGGTAGCAAGCTGCATGTTACAACTTAAATTTGTTTAATGAGCCCCAAAATTTTGATTCCTTGGGGGGTCTGTAGTAGTGAATCAGTCAAGCCTTAATAAGGTACCGTGGGGGGTGTGAATTTTGAAATGCCAACTAGCCTACGACCATCCCTGGACCAAATGAGGAAGCCATGCAAAGTTTGGTTGAACTGGGATCAGGGGTGTGGCCATGCATAAAGGACAGGGACACAAACACTGAAATGTAATAGTATAGATTAGGAAATGCTGATTTAATGAATTTCATTTTTCTTATCTCTATTTGATTGCTAATCTCTTGACTACCTATTCCAGATGCTGTTAATCGAAACACCAGAGATAGATTGTATCTGGAGTCCAATAGTCCTGGCATCACAAGGAAAGCAGACTCACTGAGCAAAGACAGGTTTGTTTAGTCAGTTTTTTATTTTCAATCATGACCCTTCCAGATTGGGTTCCAAATGGTTACAAGCAAAAGAAGACTTTGCTTTTTCTCTCAAGGTATGTGCCGTCAGAGGTTGTCCCACTGAATGAGGCCTCTGTGAAGCCCAACCTTTGTGCACCTGGTCCTAAAACCAACATCCATATGGTAAGTCTGCATCTATGCAAATGCATGGTTGGATTTCTCAGAAAAACCTATTGCTTTCCTTTCGTGTACTCAAGTGCTTTGTTTATTGGCTGTCTTCATTTAGATTTTTCAAGGGGAACAATCTGAGGATATTTTGACATCATACAGAACTTCATCATTGACTGAAACGTGAGTTCATATCTGATTTTTTGTTAGTACAAGGGGTGAATACATACTGATGTGGACATAGGCATCAAATAAGGGATATGATGAACTTGATACTAACTGGAATTGATAACAAAATTGGTAAGGGTGTTAATTTTTAATAATTTGTTTATTCCTTTTATCAATTCTGAATTATAGACTACTCACTTTGGGCATTTCAATGTACCTCAACAAATACCCATTTCCAGTTTATGATGTCATTGGTTTAAAGTGATGAGAGAAAATTGGCTGCAGATAGAGATTTAGAAGCCAGGTATGGACAAGTGATTAAAACTGTTGCAGAGTGACCATCAGACATTTGTGTGCAAGTGTGGATATGACGACCAATGAGCAGGGTTGCTTCTGGTTACTGTATTGTGTAACTGGTTACTGGAGTACCAATAATACAAAAATGCTCCTCATTTGTTCCATGAGACTTCCTAAAATATGATACAGTATCAACCATATTTTGTCAGTGCATAAAGTTGTCTGGAGGTCCTGTCTGTAATCATGGAGTTCTCCAAGGTGTTACCTCTTGATCATATATATCAGAAGTCCTCCTTGTGTATTCTAGGTTCTCCAAGCCACAGCCAGGCACTGCTGCATTTCGGAGAGACCTGAAATTTTCTCACAAGCCCCTGTGGTGAATTGTCACAGCTGTTGTGTCTTCCAAGAGGTTATTTTTGTACTTGCCTCCTAAAGGCAGTGGAGGCAGATTTGTTTGTCATTTCCTATTTATTTATAGGATCAATAGGTGATAATCTGATGGAGCAAAATTACTAATACTCAGCCTAATACAATTACAAGGTTCTTCTTGCATTTTTTATGTCTAGATTTAGTTTTTTTTTTTAAATACTGTCCAATTGTGAGATTGTTTGTGTATATGTTCTGGTATTCCTTGTGCAAGTTATGAAGTTGACTTTTAATGCTTTTTAGAAGCATTCAAAAGGGCTAATGTGTTGTATATCATGCTGTTGAAAAGTGAAAGCAAGAAAGAGCATGATTCTTTAGTAGATGCAGGAGTCTCAGTTACTAAATCATTAAAAGATTTCTTCATGGTATTTACCCATTTTGCAAACACTATGCATATGTAGAAGAGGCTGCTTTTTTGTATAGAGTAAGGGTTACCAACCTTTTCAGCATTGATAGTGGCATTGGCCTTGCCAGACCTGGGGACAGTGCAGTCTTGTACCTGGCAAAGGGCCTAACCATGTCAGGATGTAACTTAGCAGGGTTTTCTTGTGCATATAACTGGAAACATGATCTTTTGTACTGCAAAGGGGAAGTACATAGTGTGTTCAACAGCCATAGAGATGTCTACATGGTCATCTATGGGGAATCAAACCTCAATAAGTAAAGATCAAGTTATTGTTTGAATGCAGAGTACAGTTTATCTTGCTGAGGGAAAATTGAGGACTGCATGCATTAGGATCATTCATTTTGTCATAAGCAGCATCCAGGTGACAAGGAACAATTCAACATGCTGGACTAAGCCAGTTAGCCTCCTTGCATAGACGGGCATGATACATGCCCCCCTAGCCAGGTGAAGCTCTAGTTGGTACCTGGAATTTTACCTCTAAGCAGCTTTAGATTAGAGCATGCTGATAGTGATAACACCAGAACAGAGGTAAAAGGAATTCTACAAAGGCTAAATGAACTCCAAGCTGTGATGAGTTTTGTTTCAAATTTTTTTTAAAAAAGAATCATCAGTTCTTTTTTATTTATTTATTTAACTGTACATGCCATTATGAAGATTCTTCCCTGTCATCTTCAGAATAGCTGAGCATGCTGTCAATTTAGAACCTGTGTTTATACACCAGCTAAATATCTCAAGTAGACTGTTAAGTCTATTTAATTGGCAATGACAGTTCTTTCTCCTTGAAGAGATCTTTAGTTTCTCATGATCATGTACATGTGATTTTGATCACACAGTATTGAATGATAGGTGCTGTAAAAAGGAATATTTTCTGTCCATTCATGCAAATAGTGTCCTTGCAATGGGAGTGGATCATCATGGTCAAGAGGGGAATATTATGGCAGCATCTTGTCCCTGGTTTTCTTCAATATGTCATCACAAACCTCTAACAAGAAAATGGCTTTTCCCTATCAAAAGGTGGTCTTGAAATGTGAGCTGAAATTAAAGCTGTAAGTACTTTTGAAGTAGTCAGGCCAGCAAGCAGAGGTGGAAGGAAGCATAAAATGAAGTGAGAAGCTTTGTTGGTCAGGTGTTCCCATGTTGAAGTCTAAGTTATGATGAAAAGGTCTGTTTTTATATTCAGTCTAAATATTGTAAAAAAAAAAATAGAACAGATATTGACTGACTTTCAAGATAAGTTTCATGCTGAAATGGATATTCACACTTTCTTTTGATTTATACTTTGAGAGGCCCACTATAATTCATGGTCAATGATTCACCACTTTCAGATTAGTCCCCCTTATATTTTGTATTTATATTAATGTGTTATCTCAACTTCAGACTGCCAGTTTGCATTTTGGCAAAAATGTTCAACCAGAATACCTGGGACAAGGAGACATTGATTTCCCATGGAACATGATGAGTATTTTTCCTAAATGAAATTATGACTGCATTTGATGCAGTCAATTCTTTTTCATCATGAAGATGAAAAAGAACAACAAACTGGGAAAAAAATTAAAGCTGCGCTTTGTGATTATGGGCCCCATTCCACCATTGACTCACATTGGGGATGTACTATTGCTTTCAGGATTGTATATAAGGACACTATTTGTGAATGCACAATGTTATTATTCTAGCTAGAAATATTTTTTTACTTTTTTCCTTGCCTATTTTTCTGCTCTTATTGCTGTTACAAATCAGTGTTTGGTTTCATAATGCTTGCAAGACTTCGCTGGCAAATTTCTTATGAAAGTGAGTGTAGTGAATGGAAAGGTGGCAAAGGCTAATGTCGCAGATATGTCATGCATAATTCTCCATTGGGTGTATGGTCATCCTAAGGGACGTGTATTTGGCTGAGTTGTCTAATATCAATCCAAAGGGAGGAGTAATGAATCTTCATCACCCACTCTCACTCTCAACATCCTCAGCAAAAGGAGTTATTAGCAAAGCAGTCAAGCCAGTTGTAAAACTACAAGATTCCATGTGAAACATTGGATAAAAGTGACATGCTAAAGAATGAGTGCAGGGAGGGAAATTTTCACCTTAGTCCAACTTGTGGTACAGCCTAGGATCTGGCTGTGCTGTCTTTTCAATAATTTCTTTTTTCCATTCAAGGGAGTTTTCCAGACAACTTCTTGAACCTCTTGACTGAATGGAGTCTTGCAAATACCAAACATTCTTTTGTAACCCTACTGAGAGAAAAAAGTTACAGTGAGAAAGCCTAAGAACTTTTTTTGCCAGCATAAGTGATAACTTCTCTCAGCTAACATAGGTGCTGGTATGTCATTCTTGCAGGATAAAATTATGATTCAAGATGGATGCTGGTAGTCCATTTTTTAAGAAAAAAAATTTTCACTTCATATTGGCATGATATTAAAGTAGGAGAGCATGTTCTTTGGGTCAGGAAGTATGAGATGTGATGTCAAGAAAATATACTCATTGCCATAAAGAGAGATATCATAAAACTCAATTTTTTTTTTTAGAATCTCCTATTGGAAGGCACTCAGCCTTTGCATGCCTTTTTATTTGATCATGTGCTAAATTCTATGGCTGCTTAAAATGTTTCATTGAATATATTCATCAGTTGTGATTTCAGCTTCATTGTACATAAGGGGAAAAAAAAGGATTCTTGGTCCATGTTAGTTCAGTTGCTGATGTGATGATCTAGTGAGAAGGGCCGATGATAGATGGATGAACTCCACCAAAAGGGGAAATGATTTATATTCATATTCCTGATGCAAAAAGCTGAGTGTGTTTCTGTTGGTTATAGAGATGTTTTACTTGTCTACCACAATATTCACTTTCAGGCATGCAAACCCTTCCTGAAAGCTTCAGTAATGAAAGCAAAAGTGGATCAAGGGCTTTTGTTCCATGTGATGTTTAATGCCCTTCAGCTAGAAAGATGCTCAATATGGTGCCATTAGCCCTAAATACCGGTACTTAAGTGAAATGTGGTGCAGCTTATTAACAGTGAGATGTTTTACTGTGGCCAGATAATCCATCAATCATTCTTACTACAAGAGAGCATCCATTATTTCTTGCAACTGGTGCTGCTGCTGTGAGATTTCTCATGAGAGTCCTTTGTTCCTTTTACATAGGTTCCTATAAGAGGCTTTATCACTGGATACAAGGGCTTGAGTTTTGTTTACTGTATGCTTTCTTTCAGTATAAATTGTCAATGTTTTGATGGAGGAGCCCAAAGAAAGCCATACAGTAAATGAAGCTCAGAATCAGGATTTCTGATCAGCTCTACTTGAAATGCCTTTGAACAGGAAAAGCTGACCAGTTATTTTGTAATGTGACAGTATGTCATCAGTTATAAATATTTTTTTTTCTGGTGAATGTAAAAGACGAGGCATAAAAAATATTCACTTTCCTTAAAAAATTGTCTCTTTGTTTAACTTTTCAATATAGTACAGATGAATATAAAAGTTAGTATCCTATAGTCTTTTCATTCATGAAATCAATATATATATATATTGAGTCTAGGAATATTTGTCAGGGTGACATGTGCATATAATGTTACATATCTAGGCAAGATAAAAAGAACTTTTATCTTGAAGAAATTCAGTCCAGAAGCAGCTAGCACTGTGAAATAACTCTTGGGCTGATGAGGCCACCTCAGTAGCTCTGGTCTAGTACGTCTAGGTCATTTTTTTCAAGTGGGACCCATAGTTCTTGTATGATACATGTATTCCAATAATTTGCATTTAGTTGGATTGTTCCCTTTTACCTAAACCAAATAGAATTCCTTGTGCATCTACACTTTCCATATGTATGCTATTGGAGTGTATTGGATTGACTATATCTGCATTTATACTCTTGGAAATCATTGTGATTCATGCTAAGTGTATTTATTTGTCCTTTTATACATAAATGTGTCTTTGTTCTCCCTGTGTATGATGGAGCAGCTTGTGCAACAGATACAATTGAAAGGATTGTTTTTCTCCCTTGTTTATATCTGTATCCAAGTTCATGTGGATGCAAGTTAGTAGCTGGCCTGCCATTGTACCTAGAGTGCTCAAGTCTATGCATTCAGGCAGATGAATTAGCACTGTGGATATTTTATACTGTCATCTGTGATTTGCATGGCTGTTTCACAGTGAATAAAGAATCTCATTTCAATGTGTTTTTTTTTTTTGCAGTCTTGCAGTGATGTGTGATTTCAATTTACAGTAATTTGCATAAGTTAACTCAGGGAGTTAATTTGAGCTTAAAAAATAATTTGTGAAAGACCATGTCTGCAACACAAACGATGTTTAAAGGACCAATTAGATCAGTGATGAGTCAGGCACATCTTTTGTTTCACATTTCAAAAGAGCTTGCTGGAAGTCACTGTCATAACAAAATCCTGGATCTCTCAGATGACATTTACTTTCAAAAAGCTATGAATAGCTAGAAGAAACCATCACCATGTCAATCAACAGTCTTGCAAGTTCTTTATTTTTAAAGAGACACAAGATTCTGCTCTTAATTATTTCTCTTTCAGTGTAAAAAGATCTGTTGCCCCAATTGATGAAACATTACTATGAACATGCTCCTTCATCTGCTTAGAGAAACCAAAATGCCAGAATGTGATTTCTTGGTATAATTTTATTGCATGGTAATATTGCAAGGAGAAGGCATGGATGGATGGATGGCTGAGATAGTGATCTGGCAGTATGCTCCAATGGGTCATGCCATTAAAAATAAAGTTAATGATTGATTGACAGCCATCACTCACTCAATACTGATTTCATGACAGTCCAACCCATTGGGGATATCTTCAAGTCACTAGCAAACAGGAGGCTAAATAACTTTATTCTGATTTGTAATGGGAATGTGCAACAAGACACTCTCACACTTGCACCAGGAAACCAATGACTCAGATTTCTAGCTCTTAGCTAGTAAAGCTGACCAAAGCACCAGGCCTTCAATGATAAAGAAAGTCATCAACAGTGTGTCTTACCAGAGAGGCACAGGTTTAAATCAGAGAGCAAGAGAAATATATAACTTTTAATAATTAAGAGATATGAACAAATTTAATGACTTTCAAGAGGGAGGGACTGGGCATAACTTCATCATCACTGGAGGACTTCCAAGTATGTTGATGGTATCCTCCCTCGCTTGCCCCCAGCCTCTGCCAGTACATGATCTGACTCAACACCTGGCTCTTTGTATATAGTGACCACCTGGAAAATGTGAAAGATACTGAATGTAGACCATTAAATAGGAAATACCAAAACATGTCCATTAGACCAAATGCTGACAGCAGGGGGGGGATTCAAATATGGTGCTGATGTCATCACCAGTGTGAAGACAACTCAGTCAATCATAATGTAAGAGGTAAGATCATGCAAAAAAATATAAAACCCTAGTTCTGCCTCAGAGGCATTCCCATGATGAAACTATGACATCTACTTGACAACTTGAAAAAAAGTGGAAGAAAGAAGCAAAGACCAAATACTGTCACCTTTCCCCCCTCCCCCCAAAACTGAATGGATAAGATGCTATTCAACAAAAAAAGCAATCAATATAATGAATTTGCTGTCAATAGGTTTCATATTCATGTGATGAACATGATTAAAGAAATGAGCCATTGGAAAGATTTCAAGCATACCAAACATCTAAATGCTTGCAGGTCATTAAAATATTCCTGAGATGCTGTGGTGCATTAAGATACATATTGATCTACCAAAAGGGTGAGCATGCAAATGTAACATTTTCTAGAAGAGTAAGAATTGGCAATCCTTTGTATGAAGAATCATGGCAGAATGTCTGCCTTTCCACTAGAGCTGAGACTTTCAGCTTCATGGTGCTTAGATGAACAAGTCTTAATTCCTGTTCTGCTGAGGAAAAAAGCACTAATTCTTGATTGCCTTAAAAAATATTGAATTCACCCTTTTCTCAGGTCACTGACAATATGAATAATTGGAAGCAAAATTATAGATGACAATGTCCCTCTTCTTGTTCTGAAATTCGTCATGACTCCAGGTACACATTTCAGTTTTGAGTCAGAACCCCTTTAAAAAATAAATGTCTCTTTAACTGTAATCAATTGAAAGCTGAAAGAATTCCTTGATGTACAGGGTGACAATTCCTCAATGTTACAGATTTTAATGGCTCGCCATGTACAAAATTTTCAATGGAGCGTTGAGTGACACATTTCCAGAAAGTTTGTCTCATGCAGTTTTGTTTTGTTTCATTGCAGATTTGTTAGCATGAGGGGTCACTATTTACTAGAGCAGAGGGTGTGGATAGTGACTAAATTCACGGAGACAAGGTCAAACTGTGGGAATGCTGAAATCAAAATGGAGGGCATCTTGAACACATTTTAGCATTATTTCAGTATAATTTGTCAAATCTTTTTGATGTCAATAAAACTGCAGAGCTTTAGCCTTAAATTGAGATATTTACTCATTAAAATCAGTAGTCAATTATAAAAATGAGAGCTTATGAAAATCAGTAACATTGAAAATTGTCACCCCATACTGAGGATATATAATACAACTTAAGAATGTTTCATTCTCAGAATGCAAAATGAAGATCCTGGCAAACAAACTCTTATCCCATCAGTTGATAACCACTGATGAGCAAACTTTTCTCCAAGTAGAATGTTTGTCATTTTGCCAGTAGAACTGACCATCGCACACTCAGTTCTGGCAAAAACTGGCACTGTACTTAAACCAAGAAAAATATTAATTTTTTTCCTATATTCATTTCATCTTCAGTCGAGACTGAAACTATTTATAAATAAATTCCCCCATTAATCCAGGTTATGGACATAAGCTCCTCCACTAGCACCTTTCCCCATGTGTATGGGGAAATTTGGACCCAAAGTTATACAATGTCTCCCAAAGACTCATTTGCACTCAAATTGCAAGAAAGAAGTAAATACAGCCACTTTGCCACTTCAATAACTTGAAGATAGATGGCAGAAGTACACCCATGATAACTTTGTAGCAGAGATAAATATGTAATAGTGAGGAGGGGAAATGAGCACATACCTCATCAGCAAGAACAGAAAGTTCATCAGGGGCTCTGCTCTCATAGTCATAGAGAACCTTGGCCTTGTATTTCTGCAGTCTGCTGGAGCCTGGGTTGTCAACAGGAGAGCTGTCCCCTGGTCCAAGTCTTCAACAATCAAACCACTAATAATAACTACCTGCCATTAAAGTCTCATACATGGTGTAAAAAAAAGAACAAAAAAAAGGATTATCCTCTTGCTGGATATGTAAGGTGTATGTGCACATATTAGCCTGTGGGCTAATATGAAATGAAACTCACCATTAAGCCCTGTGTGGAACATGTTCCTCATAGATACTCCAGTTTTAAAAAGTAAATAAACCATACAGTACTTCCTTCATCAACTACACAGCATCATATAGAAATACTAGGCACTGAAGGATGACACTTCTTTTTACTATAAGTTGTCCAAGACAAAAGCCTGCTTGTCAGCAGAATAATAGGACTGCATATCACCATAAACAGTGCTGAACCAATGTTCCTGTAGTCACAATGCACCAAGTCAGCAATTCTATTCCCATATTCTGACATATAATGCATGCTAACACACAATTTAATCAGTAGATATAATGAACATCCAATTCCATCAACTCTAGCTAAATATAATAGTTAACTATTGCTCCTGATTGGATGACAGATAAGACAATATTTATCCAGCATTACTCCATATTCAGCAAAGGGTCAAATTTCATTGAGCTTTCTGATTCCCATCATTTAGGTTAATAATAATAGTTAAACATTTGATTTAATAATTGTGGCAAATCCATCATTCAAGTGCATTCATCCAAAACTCCTAATAGCTTCAAAGAACAAACAAAATTTTTACAAGGAGAAAACTATCCTTTTTGGTGGATCTCCTTTCCTGAAAGGAAAAATAACACATAAAGCCCTGTTCTGTCTGAATGTGTGTGTGTCACACTTTTGCTGTCTGATGATGAATAAAAAATATATTGACCTGATCAATCTGGATACTGACAGAGATTAATAGGGGCAAAATACTGGACAAGTTCACTTGTAAAAATTTTGTGTAAAAAGAGAATTTTTACAGCAAATTTTGAATGTTGAAAGTTACTTATAGTGGGAAAGGCATGACCAATTATCAACTTCGTTGGATCTTGATCTCAATGGCTATGTACAGCACTCGGCCTGCCTTGGGGTGTCATGTCACCACACAGAGCTGTTGGTTCCCTCCCAAAATTCCCTGGTCTATTGCTGACAAATGAAAAGAGAGGCAGTAAATGGCACCATGGACAGGGTTGTTAGCTGAACTTTCATCCTATTCCCAACAGTCACTGCAAGGAGACCCACTACTGAACTTGGCTTGCTCAGTTTGCTTTTTCATCCCCCCTTTTCACCTAAGTTGCACCAATACGATTTTTTAAGATTTGGCAGACAGAAATGAGAGAGGACCATGAGCCTTGAAATGGGCATTAGCTGAGCAGGAAAGAAGAGGCTAAAGTGGATCAGACTTAGAGGTGTGACCATAAACTTGTTCATGCTGAAATGACCAGAAGTAAATATAGGTTGCCCCCACAATAGCACAAACTAATACAAACCATTTTTTGGCTTGAATAAGTTGTATTCACTGTTTCTCCATGGAGATTCATACATGCAATGGAATCACCATTGATTCAAATATAATATCTGAAAAATCCACAAGGTGGAAAAAGACAGTCGTGAAAGATCATTATGGCATCACTTGGCATGGTTGAGGTGTTTCATTTGTGAAGTCTCTTCATACAAAGCATTGTTCAGACATAGCCAAGCTACTCAATTGGAACTCAATATATATATAGGCCTTCCAAGATTTTTACAAATCTATTAGATCCTGCAAGGACTGCAGAAAAAAATCTGTTGCATCTAATTACAACAGCTGTTAGGTTCAGGATTCAATATACAGGGTGTATCAAAAGTTCATACTCATGGATATTTTGAATTCATTAAAATTTTCAATGAATGAGTGCACCAAAATTAGTACAGAGGTACTAAGAAATATTCAGAGTGGGTTAGAATAGATTCAGAGCCAGAATTGATACATGTATTCAAGTTCATGGCCTGCAATTTTAACATTTAATGAAATAAAGGTAAATAGTGAAACCTGCCTATGAGTCTGGACTTTCGATACACCCTGTACATTTTCAAAATTTTCAGCAATTTCTCATCAGTGGATGGCGAGAAATAAATCTAAAGTTGTTTCCCTTGCAAAAGCACCTTCAGGGCAAGACAATGTATACTAGGAGCCAGTAGAACCAATAGGACTCAATCATCTTAGTGCTCTTTGCAGTTCTCTAACAATTCTCAGTTCAAGTACATGCAAATTTTTCAATTGTCCACATTTAAATTAAAACTGTCAGATGAAGATGTCACAGAGCAAACAATTCAGTCACTCATCAAATTCAAATGAGCACTAGATACACTACTAGGTAAAATATGCTGTTCTACTGGCATCCCAGAATAAATCTCAAGAAAGCCTACCACAAACTGCAATTACTTTTTTTTTTTGGCAAGAATGCAATGTCTGAATTCTGAATCAAGAATATAGACATTTGCATGCAAAACATTGGGACAAGGTAACTGGAGGATTATTATGAGTGATGGTATGTGATTATTTGCACACTGACCCTTAAATACAGACTGCATCTGGTAACCCAGTATGTATGCATATGGAAATTGCAAAATTTTCAAAGAGTATAGTTGTAATAATTTTTTGCAATTAGCTCAAGCAATAAGGGATGTATAGCATCAGTTGAAGACAGTATCAAACTCTTAGATATGTCCAAACCATTTATACATCTTTAAGATACCATCCACCTTCCACAATTTAAGGAAGACGTAACAAACTTAGCATCAGCACTGCATTTTTACAGAAACACAATTGATCCATATAGTTGATATGACATACTAAAAACAGAATATCTCATGTAGTGTCCTTAACTGGAGTTCCATATTTTTTCAATGACCTATAAAACACTAGCTGAGTTTCATGTGAGCTTAACATAATAATTTTGTAGTCATGTGTCATCATATCAAATTCAAATGGAAAAGAATTGAAATTCTCTATCGAAAAATATTGAAGAGCCCTAGAAAAGGTAAGAGAAGATAACATGAAGAAGTAGACTGGATCATATCAAAAACCTCTCAACCCATCAACAAGATTTTTTGTTGATTGGAATGTAATATTTTGAATAACAAATAACATGATACCTTCTTTCCCAGTGGTATCTTCTGGTTACTGGTACCTGAGAATGGATGCAAATAGCAAGAGCCAACTGTCTAGACATGATTCAATCCTTATGAAGATGGCTAAATGTAGCATGGCATCATGAAAATGGTATCCTGTGTCCAGCATGTCTTCATGGGACTAAGGAATATATAAATATCACTGTCATGAGCAAGAGAAATTGCAATAAACTCCTAAAACCCACTAGTGACACCAAGTGAACCTGGCTACCAAGGTATATTGACCAACACCCCTTTATCCTGGACTGCATCAGCCACCTTCATAATCTTTAATATAATGATGTAGAAAATACCTTTAAGATACAATGAATTGGCAATATCATATTCCCCCAGAATATTACATTAAATAAACAGGGTTACACTACTGGACATTTTTGGTTCACAAAAATGCAAGAGAGTCAAGTTCAAAACCTAATTATATTTTTGTTTAGGAAATGGATCATTCCTGCTATGGGGTTAATTTTTGACACTACAAAAAAAAAATACCACTTCATCCCTGTGTCCCCTTTTGGCCAACATTTTGCATTCAACTTGGGAGCTGAAGTTTTGTTTCTCCACTTCCATTTGGCATATGTTGAAGTAAAAAGTTTTCATGTTGTTTTAATACACCTCCCTTATATCCCTCTATTGTGAGACTGACCTGCATTTTCACCCTATCATTTGCAAATTTTTTCCTGTCCCAAATTTTTTTTTCTAATATTCTTGCTTCATGAATATATTCATAACCTCAAATAATATGCAAAGAAACCTTCAATCTCAATATTTTCTGCTGTCATACAAGCTGCAGTAAGACACCAGAGTGGACAATTTGTGAGGAGATCCCCACCCCAGCCTGAGACAAGAACCTCAAGAATGACTTCATGGGTGGAATATGTTTAAATTTAATTTTAAAAATTGCTTACAGTAGCAACAAATACTTCATGAGAGTAAAGGGTTATGCTTGTCAGGCAAGGAAAAAGGGTGGTGCTATATCTACTTTTACAGGCCTCATGTCTCTGTGCACTGTGTTCTTATGATAAAATTGTAAATGTTTTAAATCAGAAAACAGAGAGGTCTGTGTCTAAATAAGCATGATGTAGAAAGCTGATTATATTAAAATTTTACCAAAATTTTAGTCAAAATAAAATTACCTAGGCTAGTAATGCTATTTGACACAATCATGTCAAGCAGAGAATCTTCAAACCTCAAGCAAAATAAATAAGTATTGGTGAGATTCAATACAAATTTAAGGTAGATATATATGCATCATATTATTATGGTATAAATGCAAGGTAATGCAACTCATGAGAAAGCTAAATTTTGTGAAGTGCACTCGGTTCCATAGATTTTACAGGAACATACATGAACCATCTGGCATAGCTGGATTACACAAGTACCATGCTAGCTTCCAAAAAGTGCCACTCAATGAACCAAAAAGATGCTGCTTTCTTACATGATAAGTATGAAAGATGCATCACTGGAGCTAAGTGCTGCAAAAGTCAGCTGCAACTCATTCCCCTTTTGAAAGACTCATACAAAGCTCAAGGCTATTCAGTCATTTTCAGAAGTCTGACGGCCTACTTTTCAACATCAGATAAACTAGTGATATTGTTGCATTATCAACAACTATAACAGAAATGATGCTGTTCATAGACTGCTATAAGCAGCATTGACACTATTCACTCTAGAAACTGACAATTCATCCCCTACATGGCCAAATTTCAAATCACATACTGCAAAATCATAGAAACAGATTTGCAGCTAGGAGATCAATGACTCTCAGACAGGAATCCAACAGCATCAATGCATATAGGGAGAAGATAGGGAAACTTGCATAGTCATGTGCAATCATCACTACAGGCACAGGAAATGGACAAAGGTTAGTCTCTTGAAAACTGTTAAATAGAACTGTGAGATGATGGAGAGAAGGAAGCACAGAGAGAAGAAAATGATGTGTATTAAGGGGGAGTAAGAGGAATTTCTTCACTGTTAAGTCTGAAGATGTGCCTTTCATGTGGCTCCGATGGTGGCTGGATGCTGAATAGTGCACAGGTAAGACATGCAAGAGAAGAGGAGGGGAAAAGAGAAAAAGAGAAACACTATCAAAATCACACAATTTCCATGTCCTCTGTTTACAGCTCAGTCATATGATACTGATCTCATATAATTTTTTCAGGAGGATGAAAACTGGATGCATTGTCCCCAGGACAAAAATATAATTCATATCATTTATGAATTATTAAAATTTTAAGTAACAGTGATCCAAATGCAAAGCTCACATATCTCTTGAAGATGCATTAATGTGTTTCCTATGTAATTCCCAGAAGATGACTATAGTTGCATCTGACTATTTTGCTTTTAGTTGGCAAAAGGAGCCAAAAACTGACAGGTATGTCAAACCAAAATAAACACAAACATTTAAAGATAGATCAAGTCACTCATAACCTGGCTTACCATATAGTGTGAAAGGAGTGAATGATTTAAAAGATGGTCAAAGAGAAGTCATAACACCTGGGCAGCTTGAAAATGTGAAGTCATAGGCAAGTGATCTATCTAGACTGTAACACCTAGGTGGTCCCCAGAATATATATTCTTGTATCAGCAGGAAATTTACAGATCTGCTTGAATCTCATGTGCTCTTCAAGAACCTAAGTTGCAGCTTTCTCCTTGTCACATGTTAACTATCTTGTTTTCATCATCTTTAAAAACAGTATTATGTGGCTGAGGTTATGTCATCTGTCAATGTCATGAAACTGGGAGTAAAAATGTCATGTCATGTTGCAGGTACTGGCATGCAGACACTATAAAAGTTATATGAATCCTTGATAAATCGTGAATTGCATTTATTCAAGACCAAAACCTACAGTATCAACTTTGCTTATTCCAGTTAAGGGCAATAATATTGAACTGTGAACAGCATTAATTCCTCCAATGACCCAATTCAAGCTAATTACATATGCCTCCAAGAATAAATGTTTAACCTAGATTCCTCCAAGCTTACATTTGTACAACAAATGTCCATACCCCATCACATAATACCTAGTCATACTCAGTCTTCAATATACTGTCCTGTTAAGTTCACCTAATCATAGTTGTGTTGGCTGGTTGGCATGTTACTATAGGTGCACTTTTGCATTGAATGCAGAAAAGAAATGTAAGTCCAGAATTTAGGAATCTTGTTACCCTCTCACTTTTCTCCCACAGGAAAAGGTAGGTCAGGAGTGAAATTGGAGTTGGACAGAAAGCCATCTAGAACAACAGGGAGAACAAAAAAAAGAGGAAAAAGAATAAGACCAGTTGGGCAACAGGAGGGATGGGGCTAAGGTAGTTCAGGAATGGAGGGAGCAGGATAAAAAAACAATGGGGAAAAGTGTAAGTGGGAGGAACAGGAGTAGAAACATTTGAGAGTGAGTCAGAATTGCATCTGTTTAAGTGATAGATAGTACGACTGGTAATGTGATAGAAAGACGATAGACACAGGGCCCCTTGCCCCACTACTCACTCAGCTGGAAACCCATGCAGTACAAGTAATTATTGCAAGGAGAATCATGCTCTTCCTTGCCCTATAAGCAAGACAGTACATCATAATGATAATGAGCAAATTTCATAAATTATCTTATGGAGCAGTTCTTTACCTGCTTAGATCTCTCTGGAGTTGGGAGAGGTGTTCATGGCACTGGGCATAGAAGCGAAGCTGAGAATCAACAAAGTCAGCCAAATTCCTCAGCTGATTGGCATGGGAGGAGCTTATCCCTTCAAGGAGGAGTTTTGTGATCTCTGTTTGCTTATCAAACTCTGCCTGGGCCTGCCGCAGGTCTCTCTCTGCCTGCAAAAAGGAGAACATGTACCTTCATCAATTTGCATTCCTGGGAATAGCATACAAATATTACAATCATGAGACCTGGATATCATTAGTTACTTAGTATAACCATGGAGAGGTATTAACCCCTCAGGCCAGTTAACCATACCCCACGTGCATAACATTTTTTTGCCACAGGCAGTTAACAATTTAAATACTGGCTTGAGGGGTTAATATACAATTGCATAATTTTAATTTCAATTTTTTGTAGGCCTAGGCAACAGCAGGGGCTCAAGAACTCAAGGAATACCTGTATGTTAATTCCTTCAAGAAAGATTATTACTCTATATGATAGGAAAGATTGTGCAAACTCAAAATGATGTCACCAGTTTCCTTGTTGGTTCAGGCAGGCAGAGCAGAAGACTGAATGAGAAGACGATATACAGAAATGGTGACATCATATTAATGCTTTTTATCAAATTATTGCTGCCAAGAGGTAGCATTACATATTATGCCCTGATATTTTCAGAGCTCATCATCTTTTTAAAGAAACCTGTTTGGGTATATAGTCACTTCTTTGCAAAAGTTATGAACAGCATGTCACTAGTACACCCTGCATGCCCTCCTAGGAAAAATGATTTAAAGGAATATTACCTCAGCAATGACCTGTTTGGGATCAACTCCCTCCTTCAGCTGCATGTCAGGAAAAGGGTGAGATGTTAGTAACAGACAGGAGGAAAGGCTTTTCACAAAGGCTTTATGTCTTTACAGAAGAAAGAAAGAGGATGAACTCGTAGATGTTGATAAACAGTAGATAATATGTCTTCAAAGACATATTTCCAGTCAATACCCTGTCCAGGAAAATATTTTCCAGTGAGGCTGCTATGAATGAGTTCAGTGATTTCCCAAAATGGTGAATGTACCCCCAACAAAAATTTGCAGCTGCACACCAAAGAGGATCTAAAGATGCAATTTGGATGATGACAAATACCAAGCCTATTCCCAAATGAGTTGAGTTATGGGGCTATGAGTTAATGTTGAACAATGGGGAATTGCTAGTTTTCCATTTTAAAAATTAACGACCAGAACTTCTTGAATGCATTGTATACAGAAACAGTCTGCTGTCTCCAAATTCACTAGATTCTTCTGTGGCCAGGCATAAGAAAATAAACCCAGCTTAATGCCCACTAGGAATGGGACTCAACCATGACTACCACTGTCTGTCCTAAAAATGGAATACTAAAGAGTAGACCCACTCACATTGTGCTGGGCCTCCAAAGACTTTGCCTTTCTGAGCTTGTTCTTGCATGCATCAAGGTCCAATCTGAAAGGTAATATTCCATATGGCATAGATGACTTCCACATCACATGATAAACAGCTCTTGATAAAAGGCAAAAAGAGTGCAATCCATTTCTCTATATGGGAGAGCTTCTGCTCTTGAGATGCATTCACACAGTGCATGATGAGATGAATAGTTGATAGAACTTAGCCATCTTGGGAACATGGGAATAAATGAGAGATTCCTCATTTTAAGTTACTGTAGCTACAACCAACTGAAGCCTATGCCACCTTAGGCCCAGAGAAGAGCTCAAAGAGTTTTGAAGAAGGTCTCCATGCAAAATTCAATGCAATGGTGAGCTTCAGAATATCTGGCATGTTTTATTAGCAGGATAGGATAGCAAGTCTTGAATCCCTGACCATCAGTGAACAGCACCAATAATGGTGAACTTCTAGTCTAACTTGGTTACAGCAATGAATTATACTTGATTCCAGCCTGATGCCCAAAAGGTACATTACTTTTACCTAGCTTACATTGAGTTCAATTACTGCAAGAACCTCACATATACCAAGGCCACATTTTTCTCACTGAGGAAACTTACAATGTTGTAAAGTTCTTGATTCATTGTCATCCCAATGGTTTGAATTTCCATTGGTGGGATCTTTGACAATTGGCAACCCCTAACTTTCTCTCTTCAGGAATCTGCATTCCTGGAGGGTCTTATGCATGCAATGCATGTAATTCTGGAAAGGTGATGGAGGAAAATCCCACAGTCACCAAAGAGCTTATTCCTAATATTCAGCTGCTATTTAATGTTTTTGCATTGGTTGTGAAAAGTGAAAGAGGCAAGCTCTCATGATCAAGCAGAAAATAAACATTCATTTGATAGAAAGATAGGTGAAGTAAAGCGACATTGATGAAAAACATAGATTTTTTAGATGATTATTTACCCAATTTGGGAAAATCATGGAAATTTGATTAGCAAATAAATAATAGCTCACCCATAATGAGCCTAAGCTCTAACATCTTTTTCCAGGTCCCTTCAATTACATTATAACCAAGTTGAACTGCACTTAAATTGGAGAATCATATTTCAGCTCATAGGGATTGATATTTGAATTAACTCAAGATTCCATAAGCAACATGGCACTCTGTACTGAGTCCTTGATAATGGCATCCCCTCAAAGTATTGAAAGAGCAAAGATTCACCCAAGTGTTCCAGCATGAAAAATGAGGATAATGCCAACATGGACCAACGATCTTCCATGTTCTGAAAATTTCACCCCAGCATTATCCCACAATGAACAAGATCATGTGCCTAAATTATAATTGGTAAAAGAGCAATTGTAATAAGGATGACCAAGGAGGTGAAATATTAGTCTTGAATTCAGCTGGAAAATTCTGGATCAATTGTACAGAAAGCTTAGAGCTTACAAGTTTCAGATTATCTTCCAGACAGAACATACCATATAACAGAATCAGGGGTTGCACTAAGATTCTTGCCCTGGCCTCCTGCCCATGCATCCCAGGGGTCATGGGACTCCTGGGACACACAGGCAGAAGGCCCAAGAATGCTGGATTGAATATCATATTGCTTGGTTATGTTAAGTCAGCAAATATACATGGATTGCTGGACTTTTACTTTTGAGGAACCCTTCAAGACTCCCTTGTGCTTCACTTGGAAAGTAACCCCCTTAACTATCAGGGGACCCTTCCATAATGGACCTGAGGGTCCAGGGGACCCCTATGGCAAGAAACCTAGCACAACCTCTGAGAATATACCATCTTTAAATTCAGTTTTTTAATGTTTTGTGCAATTGTAGACAACCTCATCAGGAAGAGCAATAACAGCAAGTTAAATCTGTTTCTCAAAAATCAGTTAGGCATCAGCGCCATTTTTTAGGAACAAGGGCATATAGATGGATAAGATTTCTAATTTGCATATGTATGTTGTTCCAAATATCCAAAAAAAAATCAATCAATAGAAGCCATATTCCAAATGGAAGGTGTAGTAATGACCAATTGATAAATGATGCCAGGATGCAAGTCTTATGGTAACTAGAATTGAATTGCACATTTAACAACAGGCTAGTATCCTGGTGATGCTCATCATGGCTATAATTACTGCACTGATGCATGGATCTTCTGAAGCACTACATTTAAGACATTTATTAGGTCCTATTTCAACTGTTTCATTTTTTGTAACTTTTGCCTCAGAAAAATGAAAAGAATTTAATTAAAAAAAAAAAAACAGTTCAGCAGGCAATTTTAAGAGCAAAACAAAAATTCATGCAGAAATTTAGAGCATTGGCAAATGAAGCTTGGAAATTCGAGGGAAGCATTTATCTTACCTCTTGTTCTCCAAGAGTTTCCGTTCTTTCATAATGGTTTTCATGTCTCCATCGAGGAATTTCTGCAATGGCTGCATGAATGATTGGGCAGTTGATGTAATATATTCCCTCTCTGACTGCCCCATCTTTTGCTGACAGGCACCCACCTTGATCAGGGCACTCCCTGTAGAGAATGCAGAACAGCATTAGAACATATATGAAAGGAACAGTCCCCTGGGCTTCCTGTTTCAATTTTTTATCACACACAAGTGCATTTGTAAATTACCTCATCCACTTTCATCTTGGTTATAGTCTTCTTGTAAGAATAACTTCATTTTTTAGAGCGGTCATGAAAAACTTCAAACTGTGAGTACTATGTGAACCTCAGCACTCACCAAATGCAGTCCCTGGGCCATAGTCATTTCCAGCAGATATCATGTCCATTCCGAGCCATTCCAGGTTGCTGAGGCGATTTGGCCTTCGGCGCTCAATCTTCTCAACCACATAGTCCTCCAAGCGATTTCCTGTGAATGGGCAGTGAGATGAGTACAGGTTGACCATATTGATTAAAGTACTGGAACTTGTATACTCTGTGAACTACTTGTACCAATGGCTGTGGGCACATTGGTTCAAAAGCTTCCATTGTCTAAAAGAAACAGATTCTGACAACATTTTGCCACTGTGGATAACAGCAGTACTATATAACAAGAACAGGAGAGTCTCACCATAAACCAAAAGCAAGACATGAAGAGCAAGCAGTTAAGAGTACAAGGTGGAATTGGGTTCTTGCAACCAAAGATTAAGATGTCTTTAAGTTAACTCCCTGTTAAAAATGTTTCTGTACTCATTCAATGAAACACATGACCAATACATGGAGACATGTATTGGTCATTAGCTTCTTACTAGTATGATCAACAAAAGAGACACATTACATTTAAACATAATGGATACACATTTTCCACATCTGCATATGTGCCAAGATGAATGAATTCTATTAAGATTTCACTAGGCAATTCCAAGGGATCCACCATAACTTCAAACACTTTCTTCCAAACCTCTTTAAAGAATCTGTACCAATTTATGTGCAGAGTATTTCCAAATTAACAGACTCTGTTCTTTTTTCATTAAACTTTTATTTAAAAATTAAATTGCTCTTTCTATTCAAACCATTGTTTAATGACTCTGAAGTGTTTCCATGCTTGGATACAAATAAGTCTGTCTGAAGTGGAAAACACTTTTTGTCTGGTGAGCTGCATTAGTTTTTTCATACCATGTCACCTTGTTCTGAATGAGCTAAAATGGGGACCAGCTTATTCTATTAAATCTGTAATGCTCTATATTGCTTGTGAACGTGACAGAAACTCCTCTATTAAAATACTAGTGGCTTAGCTTAAATTTTGTTGAATCACAGAAATACTTAAAGGTATAGTTTAAATAAAACTCAAATTCACATTCAACATACCAGGGTTTGGAATAAGGACTGACTGAGTGTCACTAAGGATTTTCTCAGTCCACTTTTTGGTTGTGTCAGCTCGTTGTGCCAAGTTTTCAAAATGAGCATCAAGTTCAGTCTTTTCTGATGTCCCAAGCTTCTCCTCAGTGTACTAGAAGAATGAGAGCTCAAGTTTAGTCACATATAGGGCTTCTTATAGGGCTACACTATAAGAACACACTACACTACACGCCTACTGGTCAAGCAATGAATTATATATCATAGATAAGACAAGCTTAAGCTTTGCCGAACTCAAAAAATTCCTGAGTCAGAATTCCTAAATCAATTATTTAGCATGCATGGTAGGGCCTATGCCTATCACCGTTAGGCCTAAGACGAATTCCAAACCAGGGTAAGATTAGCCATTATCGACAGGCAATACCTGGACAGCTCGACTAAAGAAGGTGCCTGCATCCCCGACCCATTTCTTGACTTTGAATCCAGAGGCTCCAGGATCCATACTGCCTGAGCTACGAGCGGACCGACGAGCGCTGGTTCGAGAGCAGGTCCTGAGACTGAGACTGGGGCAAGGCATAGCCCAGCCCGCAAGCCTGATCCTGGATGTTCCGTTCAGACCCGACAGATGGCAGAAGGCGGGCACCCTGCACTCTCCTTTCCTCCTCGTGAGAAGGAGTCACGTCGTTTTCCAGTGGATGAGAATATTTCACGTGCTCCACGTCATTTGATGCCGTGATTCACTTCTTTCCGTGTAGATTAAGGAGATCCAAAGATAGAAGAAAGATAGAGGCGATGTGAGAACAAGAAGGAAGAGCATAGCAAGGGAGGATCGAGAAACTCGACGCCTGCTTTCGAGGATCTCTTCAATAATGCCATGCAGCTTGAAGAAACTAACGAGGAGCATCACCTGGCACTCGGAAAGAAAAAACCAACTCCCTGCACCCTTTCGAGCAGGTAAAAACAAATCACGTAGCGAAAAATCTTCCTGCGCCCAGCCCTCCGAGGAAAGAAGTGGTTCCATCGCATCGAAGAGAAGACGCGTAGTGGTCGAGCAGCCAACCTGCCACTCGTGACCGTGCCACTTGACCTTTAGGGCAGATTTCCATTCTCACTTCAGTATATATTCTTCGTCGTTGGAAGCTTCGTCTTTGAACATTTTCAGACTAGACTCTCATTTGCCTCTATTTGGTTTCACAGTTACGTCTGGGCCAATTAAATTTCAAACACAATTTCCAGAGGTTCGGAGAAATTTCGGACCAGCAAACCCAGCCGAAACCAAACTCGAGCCGCACTAGGAGCAACCCCCCCCCCCCCCTCCCCTTCCCCCGCACATGCGCACTAAGAGCAAGGAATAAATGTCCGGGAGTTGTTCGTAGCCGTCGACGCTATCGGGAGCCGTCGGGCCCCCACGCGAATCTTGCAGGGGAGGCCTCGGCACCCCATCCGCGAAGAATCCAACACCTTCACCTTTGGATGGATTCAGCTGTATTGTTTTTTTTTTGCTTTTATTGCTCCTTTTTTTTTAGTACGCCAAACTGATCTTTTACCAGACCGCGAACGATGCTCTCGGAAATAATTTCTATTAATTGGGATGCAGCAAAAATTCATTTTCAACGAATGACCTTCATGCTCGAGAAGCGCGTGAGCTAATACACCAGAATTATTAAGTAATTCAAATATGCTGAAATCACGTTTATTTGCACTTTCTTTAAATCTTTTCCGGTATTCTATCCGGTTTGAAACCCTCATTATCATCATCTCGTAGATTAATTCACTAGTCTATCCTTGCTAAAGTCATGCTACATTTTTATTTATTCAGAAAAGCAATTTGAGACCCTCTCAACGTTCCCGGATGAAATCTGCAGCATTCGCGGCGCAGCTGCTTCCAATATCCAAAGAATGCAATATGGGATTCCTCTCGGAGTGCTTCAATATCTCATTGATAAATTCAAAAACATTATATACTGAGTGGCCCAAAAAATGTACCCACATTTCGAATAATTGTGTAACGGAAGGTATTTAAATCATCTGTTAGCATTACTTATTTATTAATACCTAACACAATCTTTTATCTCTTCATACACTTTTGGTTCATCGAAGATGCTCAAATTGGCATCCACCAGCATTTAATCATTTAAAAGACAATAATGACAAAATTGCAACGACTGAAAAAGTGGGTACATTTTTTTGGCCATCCTGTACAGCATATAATAACCTAATAATAATAACTGTACAGTTATGATAACCGAAGTTTGTCCCGTCAGTGAGTCCGCCGGGAGGCCTGCGCGGATGGAACTTTCCTCACCCGACCCGATCCGCCTGCACGCGACCCACGGATCGCGTCGGACCGATCGGACCGGCTCGCGGCCCGCTTAGGTCTCTAAAATTGGGAACTCGAGGTCGTTCCTCCCCCCGTTTCTCATCCGATTCGAACTCGCTGAAAATTTGCATGGAGGCGATTGGGAGTTCTCCGACGAGGGGACGCTGTCCCCTTTTGTCGATCCAGGGCTGTTTGGAATTCGAAAGTCGTAGCTCCTCGAAATGCTACGAGACGAACCTTGCACGAAATTGTTTTAGAGAGGGGACCTCCGACGATTGAAAGGCATCCTGCATTTCCATCTCCTACCTGATAGTTCCAAATTCGTACGGTGAGTGAAAATTTAAAACTATGGGACGGAAGTCCTTGAAAATAGGCATGTGGAGAAAAGGGGGGGAGGGGGATGGTGGGACGCGCCTAATATTATTGATTCGAAATATTTAGCTATTCAAGATTCCAGGGGTGTGTCTCATTTGAATGCCACGGGAAGGGAGTCGATTAGCCGATTGAGAGAGCGTCAATGTTTCACGGTTAACAGCTGGTATAAAAATTATATTCGATACTTAATATTTTTTTAGAGTATTCCAATTTCGAACGTCACAACTACTGTATGACCAGTGGCGCAGTCAATGCGGGAGCTACAATTTCCCTTACTTCGTTTTGACGGCGGGAGGGGGGGGGGGGGTCGAATGCATTTAGACCAGAGGGGGGGGCTGAAGCCCTCTCAGCCCTCTCCCCCACCTCCCCTCCTCTCGCTACGCCACTGACTATGACTTCCTTGGAATCTCTCCACCACGCCCACTCTGAAAACCAGTGGCGTAGCGAGAGTTTCATTTTAAAGAGGACCAATGAAGTTGGAGAGCAGAGGAGGGGGGGGAAAGGAAGGCTACTCCCCCTTGGCTACGCCACTTCGCTTCGCCTCACTCACCGCGCTCTCGACCCGCCGACGGCGGAGACGCATGGGAAGGATAAAGGCCGCTGACGAAAGGACGTGCCGTATAAGGGCAGTGACGAGGCTCTCCCCACCTTGAGCTCGGGTTTCCGTAACCGGATCCGGCCTTCCTCGTGCCGTTGCCGAGAGCAGACGGGGCTGGGAGGAGGATCGCGCCCTCCGACCGCTCGGCGCTGATCGATTTCGGAAGCTGGTGGTGCGAGGTAGAAACGACCTTAGTGTTAACACATTGGTGACGGGCAATTTCTCGGGGCCCGTCACCAATGTGTTAAGAAATAATCATCTGGGCGTAGAATTTTCTCGAGGAACACGAAAGAAAATCATGGATAGCAGCTCGATCAGGCCATGGGATCGATGCTGATCGTGGCATCGAAGAGTAACAAACAACCCATTCGCTACAAGTGAAATTTCCCCGGACTCGATCGTAGGGATGCAGCCTCCTGGCGCTTTCGGGACGTTCACCGCTAAATAGAAGTAGGCTAATTTGTCAGGGAACAGAAAGGGTTCAGCTTTAGACGAAGCTCTGAATGGTGGGGAATCAGAGGTTCAGACCTCCCCATTGTGACTGAGGTCACCCTACGGCCCACACAGTACAGTATAAGCATAACCGCCCACCCCTTTCAACAACCGTTGCGGTCAATCCTCATTGGAATATCCTAGACGCGTCACTTGTCTGCATCTCATTTCCCATGCGGTTTGAAGGCAGCAGTGGCATAGCGAGAAGGGGGGGGGGGGGTGCTCTTCTATGAAACGTAACCGTGGTCACCAGGGAAGTTCTCACCAAGATCTTTCGAAGGTTACGGGATCTTGCAAAAGAAACGACCCAGAAAGACGCTGTTCGTGCGTCATCACACATCTGAATGACCAACAGAATTCACCCATGACATAACCCGTGCAGACCAACTCTTTCTGTTTTTTTTTTTCCCACCTGTTGTAGCACAGTTGCCTCAGAACGGAGCCACCCCAGTTGAATGCAAGTTGTTGAATGGCAACTGCACTTCGAAATGCAGTAATCGCCTTTATTTCTGTTGGATAATCACAAATCACAGCATGAAAAGACTCAGAACATTACTGGGCTTCCTCAGCTGACTTATCTTGGCTCTTTCCCGCCGTAATCCTTGTAGGAAACGACCAGCTGATGAGATGCTGTTGTGTCCCAGCTGGGGGACAAAATTTTATCTGTATCGCTAGTTTCTCGCCTGGCCGTGTCGACCTCAGCAGTCGGGATTCAAGAGTCGTGTTCGTTGGGATAGACGTTAGACTCATGATGCTCTGTGAAGCATATTGTCACAGATTTGGGCTCATGGCCTCTAACCGAACGCGTTGTAGGATGGGTGAATCAAGCCTTAATGTAGGTGACGTATTTATTGACGGACAAGGTGCAATAACACAAAAAAGGAAATCGAAGCGGGCGCGGTCGGGAAGACGTGGTCGGAGCGGCCTGGCAACGAAAGCTTGGCGAGGAGGAGGAGGTCGAAGACTTGCTCAGGATGACTGAGCTGGGCCGACGTGGCAGGTGCGACACGGTGGGGAAGGCCTCAAGAGGACGAGCGTGGCCGATATGACTCGCGGGGAAGATATGTTCGTTTATGGCACTGCAGCACAGGGAGGAACGTCATGCCTGCTTCTCGGCCGCCTCTCAGCGACGTTGCGGGATAAAACTTTCCAATGGCGATCGCGGGAGGGAATCACGTCGGATTAAGGTCCCTAGTGCGACAGCCCAGCGGGTGGGACTGGAGAAGGGGATAATGCACATTAGTGAAATGAAGTTCGAGTGCGAAGAACAGATTTAAGTTCGAGAAAACACCATTAAGCTCAGGAGAGAGAGAAAGTCATAGCTGAAGATGCTCAAGATTGATCTTGACTTTACTTCTTAGACATATATAATTAAAAAATAAAATAAAATAAGAGCTAAATGTATGCTGGCCCCCGCTACCATGTGGAAGACCGTCACATGGCTCCCGCCCACCATAGTGAGATCCTCCCAGTACAGAAACAGAAAAATTATTTCCTTTTTAAAATGTATTTCAATTACATTATATCTAAGTATCTTTAAGTATCTTAATGTTTGGCCATGGTCTGGGTCGACCGACCTTCGGGCCAACCTTCGCTGGCCATCTCATAGTCGCGTACGGACTGCTCCTGTGCCACTCATAAGCCGACCTTGTACGAGCGCATCCACCCTCAACCCACCTCTATGCCGCAGTAATAATTTCCAAATTCTAATTAGTCTAATTAGCTAATTAGCACGTGTCGGTCATAAGAAATTTGCAGTAGTTACAATTCCTTTCCCTCACCAACTAAGTCTAAGTATTTATCTTGGCAATATGAAGTCATGATCTGATTAGCCAAAACTGAGAATTCAAACAAGAGCAAATTGGACTGTCTTCT